GTGTGTGCGAGTGTGTGTGTGTGTGTGTGTGTGTGTGTGTGCGTGTGTGTGTGTGTGTGTGTGTGTGTGTGTGTGTGTGTGCGAGTGTGTGTGTGTGTGTGTGTGTGTGTGTGTGAGTGTGAGTGTGTGTGTGTGTTCAACACGCTCAACCCTCATGTGTGCGATCACAGCAACACACACACACCGATCTCACCGCAGGACACCCCTCATAACATACTGTCATTATATGGCAAAACAACATTATGAAACTGATATCTATAGCTCTGAACTCTGATTGGATGAGCCGTGTTTAAAGCTGTTGCAACAAAAAAACCACGATATACATACGTTTGATCGTACATTTATTGAATACTGTATTAATGTGGCCAAAAAAAACTTTGTTGTTTGTTATACATAAACAAATATATATGTATATATTTATGTATTTTAAATAACACACAAACAAACACACACACACACACACACACATATATATATATATAGTATGTAAATCATATCAAAAGTCATAAATCAAATCAAGTCATATTTTTGTCAATGTTTCATATTGCTGTCATTTTATAAATGCGATAGGAAAAGCCACAAGATGCTGTGCATTACATGATAATGGGTCAAATAAATGTACAATTTAGAGGTGTTGTTGAAACCCTCTAAAAATGTCTAAAAACATATATTTAAAATAATTGAAAAGGACTTAACTTTACATTACTTTACAACCATCTCAGAAGTCCCCTAAATGCGTTATACCAAAGCTGGAATATACAAGCTTATCAAATAAATGAATGAGTGTTTTCATAAGACTTCAAGATAATGTACAAATATCAAGTGTCATTAAATCATCCAGCGCTGTACAGTCAGACTCGATTTACCCAGAAACCCTTGAGATCCTCATCAGCCCTGAATAACAGCTTGATGAAAAGATTCATAATCATCATTATGCGCATATATAATTACAAAACCGAGCTGTGGTGCATTTTAGTTCAAAAGATGATTACATTTAATCAGGACGGACGAGGACTTCGAGCACGTCTTCATCTTTGGTCCTGAGTAATCTACGACATGTACAAACTTCAGCCTGACATTTGGACTTTTCCTCTAGTTTTTGCCCGTTGTTCTGTCTTTGCTTACACCAGCTTGTTAAAACACCCACTCATGTACACACACAAGGCGATAATCAGCTCCATTAAGCGGATAATTGCTTGAGTTGTGTAATTTAGGCCAGAACATGACTGAGGCTCTGGGTACGGCTCAGCATGTGTCGGTCCCTCATGTTCCTGCGGAGAACAGATGTATTGAGCCCTGGAACTGACAGACCATCCTTGCTAAATTAATGCGGCAGAAACATGTTGTTCTGACGGTTTACGGTTGTTGGTTTTTTGTTGTGTTTCTGTGTGTTATTCTCTGGCGCTGTGGGGCTTGTGTGAGCAGATCAATGGGTCAGGACTCACGCCCATTAAACAGCTCAGGCAGGTACCAAAGCAATGCACGATTCATATCAACTGACTGCATGTGTTTTGAGGATGATTATCAGGATTAATTGAAGCCTATTTGTAGCACCGTTAATTATTTTTTTATTTTTTTGGCATTTGTGAAATTTTTTCATGACAGTTCTGTAAATTTTCCCACAAATTCTCAATACTTTAAAATAAAAAAATACATTCTCTTTGATATAATGTGAAAAAAATTATATATTATTTCAGTTGTAAAATACATACACAGTGTTGCTGTATTTATGGTACTGACCAGGGTTATTATTGTTAACTAAAGAAAATAAATAAAACCAAAATAATAATAATAATAATACTTTTGTTACTGTTAATTTTGTTCATTAATAATTAATTTAGTTTGTTTGTAAAAATTAACCGAAAGAAAAGCATACACTTTTCATTTAGTACAACATGAAATAGTAAAATAACTAAAACTAATAAATACAAATTTATAAAATCTACATGGACAATTAAAACAAAATAAAAACTAACAAAAATGACAAAAACAGTAAAATCTCTGAAACTTAACTGAACGTAAAGTGAAAACACATACATATATATATACATATATATCAATGATACTAAAAAAAAAAACACTGGTACAGACTGTAATTTATGCTAAATTAGTCTTCGTTTTAGGCAATTTTCAGGCAATTAGGCTTAATTTTAGCTTTACCTTTCAGATCAATGATGCTTAGGTGAACTCAGTGTGTGTGTTTGTCCACTAGGCGCTGTTGTCCATGTCTGAGACAGTCAGCGAGAGCAGAGAGACGAGTCTGAGTCGGTTTAACTCACTGAACCTGGAGCTGCAGCGTCCACAGATACACACCACACCTGTGACAGCGCATGACGTCAGGTGAGACGTCTGGCAGTCTGCAGTTATGGAGGGAGCTGCTGGATGGTTTGGTCTGTGAGTCTGTGAGTCTGTGAGACTGAGACACACGCTGGGCCTTCAGGAGAACAACACCTGGACTGACACCTGTGAGGACACACACACACACACACTCATGCATGAAAGGCTGAGGTCTGACGTTAAGCGTGCTGGTCCACAGCAACCACACCTGTGACAGCGCATGACGTCAGGTGAGACGTCTGGCAGTCTGCAGTTATGGAGGGAGCTGCTGGATGGTTTGGTCTGTGAGTCTGTGAGTCTGTGAGACTGAGACACACGCTGGGCCTTCAGGAGAACAACACCTGGACTGACACCTGTGAGGACACACACACTCATGCATGAAAGGCTGAGGTCTGACGTTAAGCGTGCTGGTCCACAGCGGAGCAGAAGGAGGAGGAGGAGAGGAGAGGAGAGGAGGAGCACTGCAGATGAAGGACGAGAGGAGACGAGCGAGTGTCAGAGAGCTGGAGGAGACGAGACGAGCTAAAGCAGCACTGAGAGCAGTGGAGGTCAGTGAGAGAGTATTGGTGCTCCTCACCAGCAGAGGACAGCAAACCTCATCACAGACACATGCCGCTTTCCTCACATCATGTGTTTGGTGAGGAGATCGTGGTGCTGCTGCTTCTTTACTGAGTGATCAGATGCAGCAGTTGCATCCGCTGGAGCAGAAAACAGCTGACAAAATCCCAGGAGGAGCTCAATTCACTACAGACCAGAAGAAATCACCTAGCAACCACCCAGAAAGCCCTAGTTACTGCATAGCAACCACTTGGAACACCCTAGCAACAAGTCAGGCCACCCTAGCAACCACCAAGAACATCTTAGCGACCACCCAGAGCTCCCTAGCAAATGCATAGCAGCCTCCCAGAATACCCTAGAAACTGCTTAGCCAACACCTAGAACACCCTAGCAACTAGACAGGTCCCCCAAGCAACCACAAAGAACATCTTAGCAGCCACACAGAACTCACTAGTTACTGCATAGATGCCTCCCAGAACACCCTAGAAACTGAGTAGTAAGCACTCGGAACACCCTAGCAACCAGTTAGGACACCCTAGCAACCACCAACAACATCTAAGTAACCATAACCCAGAACTCCCCAGCAACTGTATAGCAGCCTCCCAGAATACCCTATAAACTGCACAGTAATCACTCAGAACACCCAAGCAACACCATAACAGCCTCCAAGAACACCCTAACAATCAGCCAGAACATCTTAGCAACCATCCAGAACTTCCAAGTAATTGTGTAGCAACAGCACAGAATATCCTAGCAACCAGTCAAAAAAACCTAGCAACCAAGAACATCTTAAAACACCCTGGAAACTGCATAGCAACCACCCAGAAGATCATAGTAACCATCAAGAACACCCTAGCAACAGCATAACAACCACTTAGTGCACCCTAGCAACTGCACAGCAACCACCCAAAACATCCTGAACAGCAATCACTCAGAACATGCTAGCACCACCCAGAACATCTTAGAAACCACCCAGAAGTCCTTAGCTACTGCATAGCAACACATAACTCCCTAGCAACCAGTCAAAACACCCTAGCAACCACCAAGAACATCTTATTTACTGCAACCCTATTAACTGCAAAACAACCATCCAGAGAACCCTAACAACCATCAAGAACACCCCAGCAAACAGCAATCACTCAGAACATGCTAGCACCACCCAGAACATCTTAGAAACCACCCAGAAGTCCTTAGCTACTGCATAGCAACACATAACTCCCTAGCAACCAGTCAAAACACCCTAGCAACCACCAAGAACATCTTAGCGACCACCCAGAGCTCCCTAGCAAATGCATAGCAGCCTCCCAGAATACCCTAGAAACTGCTTAGCCAACACCTAGAACACCCTAGCAACTAGACAGGTCCCCCAAGCAACCACAAAGAACATCTTAGCAGCCACACAGAACTCACTAGTTACTGCATAGATGCCTCCCAGAACACCCTAGAAACTGAGTAGTAAGCACTCGGAACACCCTAGCAACCAGTTAGGACACCCTAGCAACCACCAACAACATCTAAGTAACCATAACCCAGAACTCCCCAGCAACTGTATAGCAGCCTCCCAGAATACCCTATAAACTGCACAGTAATCACTCAGAACACCCAAGCAACACCATAACAGCCTCCAAGAACACCCTAACAATCAGCCAGAACATCTTAGCAACCATCCAGAACTTCCAAGTAATTGTGTAGCAACAGCACAGAATATCCTAGCAACCAGTCAAAAAAACCTAGCAACCAAGAACATCTTAAAACACCCTGGAAACTGCATAGCAACCACCCAGAAGATCATAGTAACCATCAAGAACACCCTAGCAACAGCATAACAACCACTTAGTGCACCCTAGCAACTGCACAGCAACCACCCAAAACATCCTGAACAGCAATCACTCAGAACATGCTAGCACCACCCAGAACATCTTAGAAACCACCCAGAAGTCCTTAGCTACTGCATAGCAACACATAACTCCCTAGCAACCAGTCAAAACACCCTAGCAACCACCAAGAACATCTTAGCGACCACCCAGAGCTCCCTAGCAAATGCATAGCAGCCTCCCAGAATACCCTAGAAACTGCTTAGCCAACACCTAGAACACCCTAGCAACTAGACAGGTCCCCCAAGCAACCACAAAGAACATCTTAGCAGCCACACAGAACTCACTAGTTACTGCATAGATGCCTCCCAGAACACCCTAGAAACTGAGTAGTAAGCACTCGGAACACCCTAGCAACCAGTTAGGACACCCTAGCAACCACCAACAACATCTAAGTAACCATAACCCAGAACTCCCCAGCAACTGTATAGCAGCCTCCCAGAATACCCTATAAACTGCACAGTAATCACTCAGAACACCCAAGCAACACCATAACAGCCTCCAAGAACACCCTAACAATCAGCCAGAACATCTTAGCAACCATCCAGAACTTCCAAGTAATTGTGTAGCAACAGCACAGAATATCCTAGCAACCAGTCAAAAAAACCTAGCAACCAAGAACATCTTAAAACACCCTGGAAACTGCATAGCAACCACCCAGAAGATCATAGTAACCATCAAGAACACCCTAGCAACAGCATAACAACCACTTAGTGCACCCTAGCAACTGCACAGCAACCACCCAAAACATCCTGAACAGCAATCACTCAGAACATGCTAGCACCACCCAGAACATCTTAGAAACCACCCAGAAGTCCTTAGCTACTGCATAGCAACACATAACTCCCTAGCAACCAGTCAAAACACCCTAGCAACCACCAAGAACATCTTAGCGACCACCCAGAGCTCCCTAGCAAATGCATAGCAGCCTCCCAGAATACCCTAGAAACTGCTTAGCCAACACCTAGAACACCCTAGCAACTAGACAGGTCCCCCAAGCAACCACAAAGAACATCTTAGCAGCCACACAGAACTCACTAGTTACTGCATAGATGCCTCCCAGAACACCCTAGAAACTGAGTAGTAAGCACTCGGAACACCCTAGCAACCAGTTAGGACACCCTAGCAACCACCAACAACATCTAAGTAACCATAACCCAGAACTCCCCAGCAACTGTATAGCAGCCTCCCAGAATACCCTATAAACTGCACAGTAATCACTCAGAACACCCAAGCAACACCATAACAGCCTCCAAGAACACCCTAACAATCAGCCAGAACATCTTAGCAACCATCCAGAACTTCCAAGTAATTGTGTAGCAACAGCACAGAATATCCTAGCAACCAGTCAAAAAAACCTAGCAACCAAGAACATCTTAAAACACCCTGGAAACTGCATAGCAACCACCCAGAAGATCATAGTAACCATCAAGAACACCCTAGCAACAGCATAACAACCACTTAGTGCACCCTAGCAACTGCACAGCAACCACCCAAAACATCCTGAACAGCAATCACTCAGAACATGCTAGCACCACCCAGAACATCTTAGAAACCACCCAGAAGTCCTTAGCTACTGCATAGCAACACATAACTCCCTAGCAACCAGTCAAAACACCCTAGCAACCACCAAGAACATCTTATTTACTGCAACCCTATTAACTGCAAAACAACCATCCAGAGAACCCTAACAACCATCAAGAACACCCCAGCAACGGCATAACAACCACCAGGTACACCCAAAACTGCTTAGCAACCCTCCACAGCACTCTAGCATCAGTCGTTGAGTTTTCAGTGCTCTTCAGAAGGTGAAGCGTGTGGTTTGGGTGTGGTGGGTTTGTAAGGCACCTGTGATGCCTGACTCTAGCTGTCCATGTAGGCAGCTCACTCACTAGAGCGCATCTCTCGCTGACTCATGCTCTGTGGGCGTCATGCTAACCGCTCTCAGCGCACGACAGCTGCACGCTTTCACACCATCTCACTGTGTGAATCTGTCTCTCTGTCGCTCTCTCTCTCACACACCCAACACCTAGAACACCCTAGCAACTAGACAGGTCCCCCAAGCAACCACAAAGAACATCTTAGCAGCCACACAGAACTCACTAGTTACTGCATAGATGCCTCCCAGAACACCCTAGAAACTGAGTAGTAAGCACTCGGAACACCCTAGCAACCAGTTAGGACACCCTAGCAACCACCAACAACATCTAAGTAACCATAACCCAGAACTCCCCAGCAACTGTATAGCAGCCTCCCAGAATACCCTATAAACTGCACAGTAATCACTCAGAACACCCAAGCAACACCATAACAGCCTCCAAGAACACCCTAACAATCAGCCAGAACATCTTAGCAACCATCCAGAACTTCCAAGTAATTGTGTAGCAACAGCACAGAATATCCTAGCAACCAGTCAAAAAAACCTAGCAACCAAGAACATCTTAAAACACCCTGGAAACTGCATAGCAACCACCCAGAAGATCATAGTAACCATCAAGAACACCCTAGCAACAGCATAACAACCACTTAGTGCACCCTAGCAACTGCACAGCAACCACCCAAAACATCCTGAACAGCAATCACTCAGAACATGCTAGCACCACCCAGAACATCTTAGAAACCACCCAGAAGTCCTTAGCTACTGCATAGCAACACATAACTCCCTAGCAACCAGTCAAAACACCCTAGCAACCACCAAGAACATCTTAGCGACCACCCAGAGCTCCCTAGCAAATGCATAGCAGCCTCCCAGAATACCCTAGAAACTGCTTAGCCAACACCTAGAACACCCTAGCAACTAGACAGGTCCCCCAAGCAACCACAAAGAACATCTTAGCAGCCACACAGAACTCACTAGTTACTGCATAGATGCCTCCCAGAACACCCTAGAAACTGAGTAGTAAGCACTCGGAACACCCTAGCAACCAGTTAGGACACCCTAGCAACCACCAACAACATCTAAGTAACCATAACCCAGAACTCCCCAGCAACTGTATAGCAGCCTCCCAGAATACCCTATAAACTGCACAGTAATCACTCAGAACACCCAAGCAACACCATAACAGCCTCCAAGAACACCC